CTCGACTGCTTACAGGAGAAAACCTCCCCTCCACATCTCACAGGGTGATAGTGTCCTGGTCACCCTTGCAATGGAACTAGAGGAGCATCAGCACTAAGGTCACTGGGAAATGTTATAGCATTGTGAAGCAATGAGTAAACCATCCATGGGAGAGAGTGATTTCGATGCTCTATAAGGAAGGGAAGGGAGGCATGGAGAGGTCAGAGAGCTTGCTGACAGATAGTTAAAGCTAGTCAAGTAGGAGCTATGGCTTCTCCATCAATCTCTCAAACGATGCAAGACTGTAAGGGGAAGAAAGAGATGCAGGGTCTAACCCCACCCCACCCCCCATCCCCTCATTTGAATCCTTCTAGGATTTTGAGAGAGGGCATATATTTATTAAGAAAATAAATACAGCAAGTATCAAAGAAACAATCCAGGACATCTTACCTGCATGAAATATGTTTCCTGCTGAGGGTTAAGTAGACAAACCCTAAGTTTCTCTCCTTTGTAATTCACAGTAATCATATCAAAGCCTATGGCTTCAGGAATAGCTAAAACAAGGGACATGACCCAGATCAATACAATTTCAACTGCTGTCCACTTTGGCACTCCAATGCCCTTGATCCGGCTCCATGAAGCTACTGCTCGATATCTAAATACAAGAATTGGATACTGATCAGATACTGTGGTGGACTTTCCCAATGTGTGCCCTCTATATGGTTTGAGTTACAACTCCCACCCTCCTTTATCATTGGCCATGCCAGCTGGGAGAGTTGCAGTCAAAAACAGCTGAAGGATACAATATTAGGGAAATATGGAAAAGACTGTGAATGACATGGGTGTGTATTTCTATGATTTCATTGGCTTTCACTGGCTGGCATGATACTTCTTGTATCTATTCAAACAGATTAGATCCACCAAAGAAATATTTGTAGTGTGGAGATTAAAGAGATCGCACTGTTTGGGATAATAATATACAAGATAATAATAGGAGGTCCTCTCCCTCTGAAGCTAAGCAAAAAACCAGGAGCAGCCAAGCTCCACTAGGTTTTGCTTGCCCCCCAACTGTGATACAACACATATTCCATCTGACTGCAGTGAAAAGAAAGATAGGAAGCATACCACTCTATCAGCATGGCTGAGAGACCAGAAAGCAGGAAATGAGCCAATTTTAGCTCCTTTGCTTTGAAGTGAAGCTCACTCCCTGCTTCCTGTACTCTCAGCCATGCTGAGAGAGTGATCGTGCTTCCTACCTTTCCTTCCAGTGCAGTCAGATGGAATTGGTGTTGTATCACAGTTGGAGGGCAAGCAAAACCTGGTGAAGCTGGGCCACTTTTGTTAATGGCTTAGCAGATGTTCATGGTCAGAACTCTAAATAAGAACTAGTGCCTCAGCTTGAGAGTTTTCCATCTTCCCATACCCATTATCTTCCCTTTTTTTTGTTTTGTCTTCTTAGTTTGAAGCTGAGGACAAGGACAGTCTCACTCCTTATCTTTCTAAGCCCTCTTGAAAGCCCTTCACTTTTTGGCTAAGAATGGGGGTGGGTGGAAATGGCCTAAATAAACAAATGAATATCAGCATTGTTGAGTCAAGGCTGTTGCAATATATGCCCTTCTTGCACATCTCCTACTTTTGTGGGTGGAGCCTGTGACCTGGTTCTTTCCCATGTTAACACTGGCATGGGAAGATGTGCTATGGACTCCATTCATGTGACTTCATGCTTCTAGTATTATGTTACCAAAGTGCCACAAGAAGGACTCATACTGAGAAGGTTGTGAAAAATTCCTTTGTGGCCTCCACAGTTTACTGACTCTATCTTCCTTTATCCCGTCTCTTGCAAGATCCTATTCTGCCCCAGGGAGCTTCCCCACTGCTGGAGACCAAGACATATGGGACATATGAAACACTAGAAATATAAAGCATCTGCCTACATCTTGGCACTCTTGTTCATTTCTAGTTCTATTGCTGTTCAGTAACTATGAAAGTGTTGGTAAAAGAACCAAAGCACAGGACATTCATTGAACTGGCTGTGAAGAACGACATTGGAGAGAGAAGGGTCTGTGCCATAGACTAGCACAGGGGTAGGCAACCTTTCCCCTTTAAGGGCCGAAGGACTTCAGCTCCCAGAATCCCAGGAGCTATTGGCCAACATGGGACTATTGGCCAACATGGCTGAGGCTTCTGGGAGCTGAAGTCCCTCGGCCCTTAAAGGGGAAAGGTTGCCTACCCCTGGACTAGCATCTGGAGAACTATATTCACTGTGCTTTCTTTCTGCAGAAGAGCTAGGAGAATGTCTACCTCTGCCCTCTTCCATCATTTCTTTTCTCATGTGGCAAAACATGCATCTCAAGAGGAGAAAGGATGCTTTTCATGTGAATGCTCTCTAAACAGGCAAGAATCCTGGGAAATCAGGGCCCTTGCTCACATGAATAGCTTCCATATGAAGAGGAACATCCATAACTAAAGGGACAGGATTTTATGTTTATGAATCTGTGAATAATGATTCTTTCTCTCTCTTTCTACCCACCAAGCCTATCCTCCTAATGGCATATTTGATGCTCTCCATGAATAATATTTTGAAATGTTGGCCAGCATCTTGTTGGGCAATTGCGAATACATAACCTATGCTATTCATGATTCCTACATAGCCTCTAGTTTAGAGGCTACATAGGGACTGTGAAAATCCCCTAAACCTCACTTACTAGTAAGCAGCCACAGGAATCAATGAGGGTCAGTTCCCTGTCAACTGGGAGGCAACTGTCTGATGTTCCCACCTATCCCTTGTACGAGTGATCTCGGGTGTGAGGGGGATTTGTAACAGGAGTCCTTTTTCTTCCTGTCGTGTTGGAGATCACTCATGGGAGGGGGTGGGAATCTCAGCCAGCTGCTTCTTGATCATCAGTCCCCAGTGTCTACTTACTGGTAAGTGGGGTTTGGAGGAATTCACTATGTAGCAAAGTTGTTACAGTGCTATGCAGTACATGATGGTTGTATAGGATTCTGCTCAGACAATCCTCATTTAGGCTGGGAGCAGCAACAACAATGTTCTGCCACATTTCTGATCTCTTCTGACAGGGCATGGCTGCTCACACTCTACACAAGTTATACTTTATCTACCCATCTCTAGCTAGCATGGCCAAGCTGGTTAGGGATGATGAGAACTACTGCCCAATACATCTGAAGAGAGCTGGATTGGGGAAGACTGGCTTAATAAGAACTTCTTGAATACAACACCAAGGTGTGCGGCTTAGTAAGAACTTCTCAAATATAACACCAAGGTATGCATATCTGCAAGACAGTAGAGGCAAGCTTTTGATCTACATCTCCCACCATTTCTTGCTGCTAACCATGCTGGGTAGGGCTGATGTGAGTTGTGGTCCAGCTTATCTGGAGGGCCAAAGGTACTGGATCTCTGTTTTAAGACTTCCCACAGTCATGTCATTTCCCAGCAGACTTTCCTCAGTCAGTAGAACATGTCCTGCAGTTCTCAAGTAACAATGAAGAGACCTCTGAAAACAAGCATCCAGAAGCCAGGAGTGTATAGTCAGCCCCCCACATTTCTGGATTTAACATCCATGGTTTTGATTATTCACAAGTTTTTCTGGAGGGGGGTGAGTGAGAGGAGGGGATAAAAGAGAGAGAGAGAGAGAGAGAGAGAGAGAGAGAGGGAGAGAGAGAATGCTCTTTCCCTCCACTGGCATCACCTAGTGTATCTCACGCATGGGAGAAAGGCAGGGAAGGTGGATGGATGGAGAAAGTGGTGAGCAAGTTCCACAGGGACCATGGTGGTGGTGGTGCCTGGCAGAGGAGGGAGGAAAGGCACTCTGCTCCTTGTGCATCTCTCATGGCCTCCCTACCACTTGCTCCAGCAGCCCTCTCAGGCTCCTTCCCTACACTGTATGGAAGATAAAAGATAAAAGGGATGATGTGCAAGTGGAAAAAGAGGCAGGGCAGGCGAATGGTCCCTCCTGAAGACCAAGACATCAACATCAGTGCTCAGTCTCCCCTCTCCAGCTCCTTGCTGCCCGCAAGAGGGTCCCACTGAAGAAGGGAGGTAGTGTGCATATTTGTGTTTTTTTCCATTTTCAAAGGGGTTCTGTGCTCCTAAGCCATGCAAATGTGGAGAGTTGACTGTAGTTAATCTGAGTGGAGCTCTTAGAACCCCAGTGAGAAACTGGCAGGACACAAAGATCCTGCAATAATCCAAGCTCTTCTTTACTCTTTCTTCCACTTTACTTTCAAAGGAATTCTTTCTTGCTTTCATTTTCTGCATACCAACCTCCTTCTTTCAATCCCTTCTTTGATATTCCCCAGAGTTTTTTGGATCTCTTCTTTGCCTTACACCCCATCACTTATGCATATTTTTAAAAGAGGAAAGAATAATTAATTTCTCACCTATCAATGCTGAGAGCACATAAGCTTAAGACTGTGATGCCCACCGAAGTTTTTTGAATGAAGGGGAACAATTTGCATATTTCAACTCCAAAAGGCCAGTTTTCTGCATGAAGCTGTGAAGAGTAAACAGCCAATGGTTAACAACTGCATATTGCAATTCCTCATGGGATTTAGATCCTTAGAATACACAGGCTAAGGAAACCAGACTGCATCTTCTACTATATATATCAAATTCCTGACAGCTTAAGCCTGGCAGCTGAAACTCAGGCCACATAAGAATGTTTTGGGAAAAATTGTGAGAAAATGCTTAGGCTTAAATCTAATTGCTGGTCCCAACTACAGAAGACCCATTGACTCAACTGCTGATGAGTCAGTCCATAGTTAAAACAAATCCTAGTGATTCAATGCATCTGCTCTAGTTGACTAACATGTGATTTGGGCCATGGACTCCACTTTAAAACACCAAGTTCTTAAAAAAATGTTGTTGTGTGTTTCAAGTCATATCTGATTTATGGCTACCCTTGTGCCATTTTTTTGGGGGGGGAATTTGTTCAGAGGAGGTTTGTCATTGCCTTCCTTTGAGACTGAAAGAGACTTGCCTAAGGCCACCCAGTGGGATTCCATGGCTGAGTGGGGATTTGAACCCTGGTCTCTGGAACCATAGTCCAATACTCAAACTCTACACCACACTGGCTCCACTCTTTAAAAATTACATTTTTGCATTGTGAAATACATACATTGGGCCTGACCCAGTAAAGGTCAAATCTCACTGAAATCAATGAAATACATGCTACCTGATTGGCTAACATGCATCCCATTGACTGCCTTACAAATTAAATTGGATAGGGATCCCATATATGTGGTGAAAATAAGTGGGTTACAGGAACAACATGCATAAATAATATATGTTTTAGCCCAATTTGCTTACTTTTCTCTCCGTTTTAAAGGGCAGGGATCATGGCACTGAGTCTACATATGTTTAGCTCTACATGTTTAGCACACATCAAATTATACTGTGTATGTAACATGGATGTGCTAATACACCAAGTTCACCAGCATTCATAGAAGTTTCACATCTGAGTAAGTAAACCTACCATGTCCCATTCTGTTAATCTTGATGTGATTTAACTATGGCTGTTGATTTGTTTTCATTATATAAGCTCAGCCTTAGCAAGAAAAGCAAAAGTTTAAAGACCAGATCATTAAACAGAAGACAAAAATATCAACAACTCTCAGTCAGGAGGATGCTCTATGCTTGGTACTTATGAATGGGATGGATAATATAGAGTATAAAAACCACATGCAGCTCCACCCTAGTTTTGCAACCCCTGGTGTCTCACAACATTTCCTGCCAGTGGTATCTGCTGACTTCCATGTCAGTTAGGTAGGGAATCCACTCCAGGTTTTTAAAAGCTCTGTCTATGGCGCTAAACCTATTTTAGAGATATGATTCAGCATTGTCCTTAAAACACTGGACTAAAATATAGGTTGGATCCACTGCTCACTGACATGGAAGTCATGAGCTGCCATTGCCTCCTGTGTGACAAAATTCAGGAGTAAATTACATTAAAACTGCATTTTCTTTGGACTTGCTCAAATGAAGAACTGTGATCCCAAAATGATTTACAGACTGTAATTTTCTTTTATAACACATTCCTTTTTCCTTCACACCCCTCCGTGCATGTGTTGTTTTTGCAAAATCTGAATTTCTTTTTAAAAATAATTTTTATTAAATCATTTTCTTAAATATACAATATAAGACATTTTCTCATTATTATATAACATTTTATATTTAACAAAGAAGTTCCCTATGTACAACTTGTCTCTATTCCTTTACCTTTCTACCTTTCACTCTTCCTTCTTTTCAACCACTCACCATCACCATCTTGTAACCTCTCATTAATCTCTCTACTCTACTTTTTCCTCCTCTCTCATTCATTCTCCTCCATCTCTCTAACTACTCACTAATCTCTCTCCTTCTTCCTTCTCTGTGACTTGCACGCACCCTACCTCCCTACCTTCATACACCTTCTTCACTTACAAATTTCTTCCTCTCCCTTTTAATCCCTGGAACTTCTCCGTTCTGTTCCTACCCTATTTCTGTTCTCTACTGTTACCTATCCTACCTATCTTATCTCTATCGCTATTCTACACCTACAACTTCCACCACCCGATCTTATATACTTAATTGCCTTTCTTACATCTACAAATTTTTGCTACTAATTTACCTATAATAAATTTTAATTTGCACTTAACCACTACTCGTTGATCTCAAATTTCTCTGAGAGTTTTACCCCTATCTTTTACATTTCACAATAATGTTATATCTAGCAAGCACTTTAATTCATTCTAATACTTGTCCTTGGATAAACATAAAAAGCATAAGGCTTACATACTAATTATCTGACTTCCCTCTTTTCATATATTTATGATTGTTACATCACCCCATTGGTCTTTCAGACATTTTAATACTAGATCCCATTTCAAAGTGAAATCATCCATTGGTACATTGTTTATAACACACATTAATTTATCTGCTTCCATCATATCATAAAGATACATCAACCATTCACTTATTTACGGAACTACTTTCAAATTCCATTTTTGTGCAAATACAATTCTGGCTGATGTAACCATATAAAATAAGATTTTCCCATATCTTTTCTACAGTTTATCATCAAACATACCTAACAGTATACATTCTGGTACCATCTCTAATTTAATATTTAAAATTCTGTTAATTTCTTGAGTGATTGTCTTCCAGTAACCTCTTGTCTTCTTAAATGTCCACCAACAGTAAAAGTATGATCCCAGTATCTCCCCACATTTCCAGCATAAATTGTCAGGATTCTTATATATTTTTGCTAATTTGACTGGAGTGATATGCCACCTAAAATACATTTTTAACCAAATCTCTTTTAAATTTTGTCCTGCTGTGTGTTTTAAATTTTTCAACCAGGCTCTCGCCCATTGATCTAATTGAATTGAATGACCCACATCTCTAGCCCATCTGATCATTGCTTCTTTGATCACCTCCTCTTCAGACTCCAAATTAAGCAACATGTCATATATTTTACCAATGGTTCCTTTTTTTACATTTGTCTCCATTTAATATAGACTCCAAATCAGTTTTCCTATCTGAGATACCTCAATTTTTAATATCATTTTTACATCTTTCATACAGTTGCCTATAATCAAACCAGGTTAGAATAACCCTTCTGCATTCAGTTTTTCTTGCAATCTGATTTCATATTTCCTTTTTGCATTGTAATCATATCTTGATACGTGCACCATTTACCTTATATATTTCTTTCCTATATAGGGCCTCTTGTGGTGGTGCCCACTTTGGATACCTCCAATTATTCTATTTTTGGTATTTTTCCCAAATATTTAATAATGATTTCCTGATACAGTGATTTTTAACAGCTTGGTTAGCTTTATCATATAACAAATAGGCAATTTTTATATGATTTAAGCCCTCTCCTGTAACTCTAATAATCTTCTATCTTTTAATCTTATCTAATCTTTGATCCATGCTAAACAATCTGCTTCATAATAAAGTTTTATATTTTGTACGGCTAGCCCCCCTCTTTCCTTCGCATCCTGCATAACTTTCAGCCTAATCCTAGGTTTCTTTCCCTGCCAGATATAATTCATTACATCCCTTTGCCAGATTTTTAAAAATTTATTAGGAATCCAGATTGGGAGCATTTGAAATAAGAATAGAATTCCTACCCGGAAGGTCAGATTTAACTTTTTCCAATTGATTAAATCATTCTTAATCTCTCTCCAAATTTTAACATAATTATTGTCAAATAACTCATTTGTTTTATTTGTGAAGAAAATTCCTAAGTATTTAACTTTTTTCTTACTTCTATTCCTATTTTCTCCCAAAGCTCTAATTCCTCTTTTTTGTTCATACTTTTTGTAGTAATAGCTGAATTAAATTAATTTTGCACCCTGTAGCTTTGCTGAATAGTTCCATCAATTTCATCAGTTTCTCCATCCCTGATAGAGGATCCTCTAAATTTACCACTAAATCATCCGCAAAGGCTTTTATTTTATAGTTGATTTTTAAAATCCTAACCCCCTTTAAATTTTTATCTTCTTTTATTTTCCTGGTCAGTGTGTCTATCACTACTAAGAATAATAGCAGTGAGAGGGAACAGTCCTGCCTCGTTCCTTTCCCTATCTTTAATAAGACAGTCCTCTCTCCATTAATACAAACCTGTGCTTTTTGATCTTCATATATCTCTCTGCAATCTCCCAAATTCATTTTTCCTAAGATCTCTAATAAACACCTGTCATCTCACAGAATTGAAGGCCTTTTCCAAATCAAGAAAAACAAACCTGCTTGTTTTTCATTATGCCTATCACAATATTCAATGATATTCAAAACATGTTGAATATTATCTTTTAATTGATGCTTTAATTGCAAAATCTGAATTACAAAATAATCCTGTCACTGGGGTTGATCATACCTAACAGTATGCAAGTTTGTGAAAGGTTGTGTTGCAAGGTTTTCCAAATAGCAATAAGGAGAATAAATCAAAATTCATGGCATGCAGGGTTGACAACCAGGAAGTAGCTAATAGAAAATTGTGTTCTCCTTAAATACCAAATGAAAGTATTGACTTCAGTAAACTTAGGAACTGTAAAATTGTCCACATTCATAAAGTGCATGATGCACAAATTTCTGTATGTAAGAAGTCCTAACATCTAAAAATATGAGGGTTTTTTTGGCATCTTATTCAGCCTGTATAAAAGGAAAAGTATTTCATCTCTCTAATAGGGGGCATTCCTTATAATAAGGGCCACCTGCCAGTCCTAGAAGGGATAAACTTTCTGGTCCTCAAATAAGGGGCAACCTGGCAACAATGACAGACTGTGTGCTGGCTTTTTTTGGATGCTGACCTTGACAAAGGTGCTGATCCTGTCTAAGTAATTAAACCTCAACAACAATAAAAGGGGGCAATCCCTTGTATACCACCATGAACTAGTTGAAGAAAGGAAGGAATAAAAATGAGATCAACACAGTCTTACACAGATAAAAACTGGCATCTCCAGTGTCCAGCAACCCTCTGCCTGTCTGCTCACTTTCTTCTGATAAACCTGTGAATAATCAGTCATGAGTGTGGAGGGCTGACTGTATTCTCTATAGACCCTGGCTGAGTCAGGAGACTGTAGCCAATCAAACAGGGGAAGATTAAGTCTTGGAAAGGCAGCCTTGAAGGAACTAGATAAGATTCTCAAGCATAAAGACATCTCATTAAATACCAAAGTCAGAACCATGCATGCCATTCTATTTCCAATTTTTATGTATGGTTGTGAAAGCTGAATAATGAAGAAAGCTGACAGAATCCCCCCCCCCCCCCAACTTATTTGAATTGTGGAGCTGGAGGAGACTTCTATGGATATACCCTGGACAGGTCCAAGAGAAAATCACAATTGACCTTTCCCTAGAAACCAAGATGTCTAAAGTGAGACTGTCATACTTTGGCCTTGAAAAGACAATACACTTACAGTAAGGTAGAAGGCAGTAGGAAAAGAGGAAGATCACACTACAGGTGGATTGACTCAATCTGAAGCCACAGCCCTTAGTTTATAAGACCTGAGCATGGCAATTGATAACAGAGGTTCTTGAAGGTCTCTCATTAATAAGGTCATCATAAACCAAAGAAAATTTGATGGCAA